GATCCTAAGACTATTGCAAACTTATGGTAACACTAACAATCAATCTGAAATGTGAATAATGTGAATGCACAGGCCATTATTTTTTACGAATAATTCTCCAAACATATATATATATTAAAAACAGTTTACATACAGACAAATAAAAATAAAATTTATTAAAAATAAATTGTGAAATATTAAAATGTGTAGATGTACATATAGATCCAACATAATTTAATTAAAAAAAAATATGTATATAAATATAAAAACAATATATATATTTTATATTAATAGTAAAAACTTTAGAGTAGTTGTGAAAAGGCTTATGTGAATAAAAAAATACTTATTTATATAGAGTACCATATAAAACGATAAATTAATAATTTAAATAACTTATAAAATAAAATTGTTGTGATATTTTCTATATGTGTGTAGTTTTATCTTAATCCACCATTTTAATCCATTTTTTTCATAATCTTCCTCTCAGTCTACCATCAAAAGATGGCTACGACATTATATTTTTGATATTTATTCATAGATTTGATATTTAACGAATTAATATTTTTTGTTTTTACCTATTAATATAGATTAGTTTCCCAATTATAAATACACATCCGTAAATTGTAAACTAAATATAAATATACGTAAATAATTTAATGATTAGGTATTTTATATATTTTTAGTAAATAGTTATTTATAAATATCTTTAAAAATAATAATTAAAAATAAAAAATATTTAGTCTAAACATATAAAAATTACTTAATTACAGATAAAATAAAATTAATCAAAATAAAAAATCGGTGCATATATACACATATATATATATATATATTATAATATTATATATTATATATATATATTAATAGACAAAAATTTAGTTCAACGGGAGAGTTCAGTTATTTTTATACTTAGCCTGTAGAATGATATTAGTTTTAATATTTAACTTAATTATGTGAATTTCTTCATATAAGATCAAATATATCTATTTGTTTTGGGCGAAGTATAATTTTAGAACATTTATTTACGTCACATATACAATAATGTACATCACAACTACATCAAACTTTAATACATTTACCAATAATTTAGAATTTATTTAGTGTACTCTATTTGTCAAATACTTATACTGTTAATGTATATTTATATAATATAATTCTAGTTATTTCTTTTATAATTCATAAAAAGTGTAACAGACATACATATACATATACGAGTATATTTATAACATATAAATTTAATTTTCGCAAAATATGTTTATATGCTCAGGAAGGTTTCTCTACTTTAGCTATTCTTAAAATTAGTATTTTGTAAGCCTTTTATTTATGTATATGCATAACAATGACAATTAATTATTAAATTTGTTAATATAGTTATTATAATTATTTTATTTATTAAAGGAAATAAATATACAAATGATACTACCATATTTATATATCAATAATAATTAGTTGATATTCAATATAATATAATAATAATTAATATAATTAATAATTTAATGTAGTTTAAATAAAAATAACAATTATAAAAAAAAAAGTAAAACATAAAAGGAAATACTTTTAGTTAGAAAAATAAAGTAACAGAAAAAAAAATATATATATAAATAAAATATATATTAACAAAAAATTTTAATAAAATAATTATCAAAATGAAAACATATGCCATTACTATTTAAATATTATATTATAAATACATTTCAATGATAATAATCACATCTAATTAATATTAAACAAAAAAATACGTAATAATTAAAGTTTTAAGCTAAAAAGAAAAAACAATACCAAGTAAGATAATAAAAATAATATAATAATATAATAAAAATAATATAAAAAAAAATTATTATACAAATTAAAACAATAAATTTAATTTAAAATTTGTACTCAAATGATATTTAATATGTATGTAAATAAAATTAAATAAAAAAAATTTATGTGTGAATGTTTATAAGTTTTTATAAATATCCTTTATTTCAGTTTTGTATGAAAAATATTGCATATCTTTGGGCCGTGCGTTAGTACAGTAGTGGCCAAAAATATTGTTTATGCCATTTTATTTAAATTTTAAAATTTGTTTGGGAATTTCGGCGGAACAAATTCCAAATCAAACACAATATATAAATTATAAATCTTATAAAATGGATTACATGCTCGTAGTTTACTGCGCTATATAGTTCGTAAATAAAATTCTCTTGCACTTTAAAAATATTAAAACAAATATTTGTTAATTCAAATATCAAACTAACTTTTTATTTAAGTAAATTAAATTTTGCATATAATTCTGTTGGTTAAATATAATTATATACATATAATTATATATTACTAGCATATATGTTAGTTGAATATAATTATATACATATAAGATTCAATCGTATGCATATTTAATAAAAATTTCATAAACAATCTTGATTTGTTGAAAGTGATTACAAATCTTATAATTATAAACTAAATATTGATAAATCATTACGTCGAACAAAAAACGTTGTCTTTTTCCATGTTCATTTTAGAATTACCTATGCTAGAAACTGAATTTATCGTCTTACGCGACAGCATAGTATACGTAGAAAACAGTTGTCCAGGCACAGGTCCAGAAACATCCGAAACTGGACTGGATTAAATACAAAAAATAAGTTAATGCTTCATGCATGGAATAGAGAAAATATTTCGTTTTTCTTTCAAAAATTTTTTATATTAAAAAATCGATATATATGATCGTCTTTTAGATAAAAAAAGGTCTTTATAAAGACTCATCTGATTCCAACAGGCCCGTAATGAAGAAATTCATTCCATATAAGTACTGATATTCATTATCTGACAATTTATTCAATATTGAGAAACGAACTTATTGAACCTTCTAATTAAGAGTTTAAAATTGTTTAACAATAAAGAAATTAAATTAAACAAAAATAAAAATTATTATGAATTTAATAAAAAGTAAATTATATAAAAAAAATTACAAAAATAATAATAAATAAAAATGAATAAAAGTGAATAAAATATACAAAATTACTAAAAATTAAAAAATGTTCGTAGTGTATACTATTATTAACTATTAAATAATGTGAAATGCGATTTTCATTTATTATTTTATTCTTAGCAAGTTCTGTTGTTCAAATATGTGATAAAAATTTTGATGAAAAAATATATTTATATATATATTTATATTTACAATATATTTATATATATAAATATTTATATATATCTTTAAGACAATATTAATTTTAATTCTTGTGTAATATAAACTACTAAAAATTATAAAAAAATAAATTTTTACTATAAAAATACGGCCAAAATAAATTTAAATGTAAAGAATACGATTAAAGTGAATAATTATTAATAACGATTTTAATAAATTGATTTAATTAAACTATAATTCTTTGTATTTAGTAAATTCATGGAGTAATTATAAAAATAACGACATAACTATAACTATTTTAAAAAATAAATAGTAAAACTGAAACTAAAGCCAATTAAATGATAAATTATTGATAAGTTAAATAAAACTATTCATAATTTCTTAGAATTTATTTATTCTTAGAATGAATAATTAAAATTTAATAAAAAGAACTTTTACTTATATAAAGAATAAAGACTTCCAAACTAGATTAAATTAAAAAGTGAAAATATTATTCAGAAATAAATTAATATTAAGAAGTTAAATATATTAATTGAAATAAAAAATATTATGAAATAATGGCATAAAAAATAAAAAATTTTTAATTTCTTGAATACATAATAAACAAATGATTAATAATTAAATAAATTTTATACTAAAATTAATTGATATAAAAATAGTTAAGAGAAATTATTAATATGAAAAATAGTTAAAATAAAAAATTAACATAAAATTATAAAATAACAAATCACAAAAAATTACAATATATAAAAAAAAGGAGAAAAGTAAACTACAAAAAAATTAATGCATAAAAATTATATAATCAAAAATAAAGTAAAAAAATAAAATTGCATTAAAATTAAAAATAATAAAAAATAAAACATTAAAACAAAAATTGAAATAAAAACCTAAAAGTCAAATTATAATTATCTAATTTCAGTTATATTAAAGAAATGATCTGTTAAACAATTTAATTTAAACAGAGAAAAGAGAATTAATTAAAGAAATAAAATAAAAATAAATTTAAATTTAGTTTTTTGAAACTAAATTTAAAAAAGTCTTAAATTAACTAGAAAAAAATTCAAAATAAATGAAACAAACTTAGATTTGTTTTTTTAATAACATTATATATATCTTTTTATTTTATAAATTAGTTAAAATTAATTTAAAAAACAATAATAATGTGTGAAAATAAAATTCATAATTCATTTAAGTCATTTTAGTTAACATAAAACAGGAAAAAAAATAAAATTTTTTAAATTTTATTTTATTAGTTTTTATTATGTTATTTATTATATATATTATATGTTAATCTTAAGTTAATTTCCTTTAAATAAATTCATTTAAAAATGTTTTAAATGACTTCGTTTTGATGCTTTTGCTACTCTTCGAAGCAAAAGAAAAACTAGTAAATTAAATTTCATGCGCACATTTGCTCGTCTTAAATATTAAAAATTAATCATTTTCGTATGTATATTTTTATTTTATAGAAATTAATTTATTAACATAAAATTTGTTACACAATTTTGTTAAATTTCTGTTTGTTAAGTAAAAATTTAAATTTAATTTTTTCTTTTATTTGCCTTATATATTTTTTTAATGCATACATCTTTTTTCTACTTTAATTAAAAAATATTGGATTTTTTTTTAAAAAAATTTGTTTTAAAACAATTTCATTTTTATTACACATTACTTGTCCTCGCATTCAATTTAAATTTTTTATTAAAAAAATACTTTAATTTTTATATATAATAAATTGTAATGTTTTTTTTTATTAAGAAATCAGTTAAACTTAATAAAAATTTTTGTTAATATATGTATAATTGCAATTTCTTTTCATAAAATAAAAACTAAAAATGAATTTTATGATATAAAAAATTATTAACTTTTCTATGTATTGTATATGTTTTCGTTTGTATGAGTGTATGATGTTAGTGTATGTGTGAGTGTGTGTGTGACGGGTGCTTTATGATTAAGTTAAGACTAAGTTTATAAAAATAAAATTAATATTAATAATAAACAATTTCAAACATTTGTTTGTTAATTAAATATGTATATATGTATTTAATAATAATTAATTATTGTTTGTAGTTGTTTGTTGTGGTTTGTTGTAGTTGAAATTTCAACATCTTCCATTATTTATTTTATGTAAATTTGTTTAGTTTTGTGATTTTTGAAAACAATAACTTATACAAATGCCCAGCATTCGAGTGTTTTGATTATGAAGTCTTCTTGTGGTGCTAACGGCTCATTGCCATATGTGCTGCAGGATTGTGAGCGTCCTTGATTCAAGTCGCCGTCTAACCAGAGACCAAAACGACCACTAAAGTAATTTTAATAAAAAAAAAATTTTTTATTATTTCATTAATTTCTAATAGTTTCTCTACTTACTCTCCAGCGCCGATTGATAAGCTTTCAACATTGCCTTTGATAAAGTACAAATTCTCACCAGTCCAATGGAAGACTTTGAAACTGGGATTAAATTTGTAGAGAATTGATTCGCCTGTACCATAGAAATGATCTGAAACATGTAGTGAACAGGAGGTTAGGGCTCCAAAGACCTACATGGAAAGAAAAAAAGAATATATGTAATTAGTTATATATTGAAAGAATATGATAGAATTTTAATATAATTATAAAAAAAATTTCTAAAAAGGGAATAGTAGTAATTCTTTTCGTTCCTTTGTGTGCCGTATAATGCTTGAAAATATTTGAACAATGATCGTACTGCTAGAGTATCTCTAGCTTTAAATACTTCATATTAATGATGCCCAGAATTTCCTAATATGTGTCCAAAATCGACACATATAAAAAAATGTATTTCAATAATTAAATCTATATAAATCCCAAAATAAACTTAGTATTGCATATGGTTTATTTATATAATAAAACAAATTAGCAATTTAAAAAACTACTTGTATTCTTAAAGATTTTATCTATTATTGGAATCTGTTTACAGATACTTACATTATGTTCTGTGTCTTCTATAACAATCAAAACTGGACTTTCCAGTCGTTGCATCTTTCTGTATAGCGAATTTAACGAGAAACCATGTTGTGAAGTGCTGAAAACTAAGGACCATGAATAACCTTCCGCTCGTGCAGGTAAATGAGCGCAGAGTTTTTCGCTAAAATAAAGTAAAACAAACAAATCAATTAAAGGTTGTTAAAATATTAAAACGTATATACTCTATCTAATTATTATGTATATATTACTTGATTATGAGTTTTCTCTTAAAAAAATCCTCATTTCACTTTACCTATTTTATATGTAAGGGTACTATAAACCTTCACTAATGTGGGTTCAGTTATCTAAGATTGAACATAAATAAAATGTTTGGTTGCTTATATATTTTTAATTTAATATATTTTTATTTTGTGGTAATATTGTGGTAATATATTTTACGATAGATATTCCCATTTATAAAGTAAATTTATAAATAGGATAAAGTTCGGTAGCATTATGGTACCAAGTGACGAGTTCTGACCATTATAATGTATTGTTTAAAACATTTCATAAATTACTATCTTTTTGAAAAATGATTAAAAATAATTATTTTTCATAAATGATCTGGTGTTACTTTTAGTCAGTCGCCTAATCATACTTGCTCCTAAAAATGCAAATGTTGTTACTATCATCTATCACCTACAATATAATGTATTTTCATTGTTTAACGCATTTCTAAAAATTTAATAATTCAATACATCAAATGAGCATATGTCAATAAATATATATTAAGATATACTATATAGAAAAAAATATGTGGTATTAATAATCAATCACTAAAAAAAAATAAAATAACGAAGGTTAATAATAACATTGAGTATTACGATTTAAACCATAGATTTTTGATTATATTCAAGATAATTTCATTAATATGTCATTTATAGATAAATTATAGATTAACTGATGCTAAAGTGCTACCGATAAAAAACACTTAATCATGATTGTAAATTGTTAGTGGGAAAATACTGCCAAAATATAGTATATTTATATATATAGTGACTGTAAAAAAAGAAAGCGTAATTATTTGGAGTCCATATTTTTATATAAAGGTGAGGTTTTGCTATAAGCATTGGTTCTATATTCCAAAGATTTATGTTCTAATCTCTGATAGAAGTGGGAGGAAGAGAAGAAGATTTTTTATATAATAGAGAGTTCGATTTAATAATTAATATATTTATTATTTAAAAATTAATTTATTTTTATATAATTATCTGTATTTAATAACAGTGCAGTAGGCTTTGATTGTATATTCTAAGATTTAGGTACCAATCTCTGATAGAAGTGGGAGGAAGACCAGAAAATGATTTATATAATAGAAAGTTCGGTTTAATAATTAATATATTTGTTATTGATATGAATTTATACTTAAATTATTATCTATTATTAAGTACAATAGACATCTAGACATCGTTTTATTAAAAAACTTTTTAAATAAAATCAACGAAGATTTATAGTTTTTAAAAGCCTTGTTATATTCTATATCCTGAGCTATTATTTTAATTATAAATAGAAATTTTAATGTTCTTAGAATTATGTTTACTTCTTGATGTTTCCTTTTTTTATTTATATATTTTATCTTTATGGAGGTTTATAAAATTAGGTTTTTGCAGTCATGTATATTATTTTCTTTAGAAAAAGGTTTCTTTATATAGAAAGCTTAAGTGTTTTCCAATACTTTTGTGAAAAACTTCGTTGTCATTTCAAAACGAAGATATATGATATCGTCTTTCATATTTGTATTTATTTACCTGCGGTATTACCGGTGTTAAAATATTGGCTAATCTTTATAACGAATTACATATTCATTATTTGAGTTACATATTCGTTACAAAGAATGATTAATAATAGATTTTGTCATTCTTCAAATTGAATAATCGTTAAATTGAGTAGTCATTATATTTGACGTCTACTCTATGTGAGAAAATAAAGATTAAGATAATTTGTTAATAATCTTACCGGTGCTCTTCTGTCAGTATTTCCGTGTTGCCAATAAGATCAGGAATAGGAAAATCGAATGAGGTTGCAGAGAACAATGATCCTTTATTGTAATCCTCTGTGCTCATAGACAGCACCTAATCATTTGCAATAACAAGAAAAACTCAATTAATAATTTGTTTTAAATTGCAAAAAAAAAACTTAAGTAACAAAAAATTAATTTTAATTAAAATAAATAAAAAAGTGTAGAAAAAATCGAACTTGTGGTAGCATTAAAAATTAAATATACAAATACTCAAATTTATATATTATAATATGTATATAAGTACTATATACATATATAAAAATTAAAATTTTTGTACATAACAAATTGAAGTGAATTTGATCACAAATATAAATTTGCTTTAAAAAAAAAAACAAAATATATTTTAAACAATTTTTCGCAGTGTTCATTTGTCAAAGGTGCAATTAATTATAAAAATTTGGTTGTGTTGTGCGTGTTTCAACGTTCAAAACTTTTACATTACCAAATAAAATAAAAAATAAGTATATAAGTAAATAAATTAAAATAAATATAATACAAAATACGAATTTTTTCAAATGAATTCAAATTCAAATTAAAATTTATAATATTAAAAATAAATTTTTTAAATTCTTAGTTAAACAATTCAAACAAGTTTTCTGTGACGTATCAAAAAATTCTACAGATTTTTATGATTATTTGAATAAATAATATATATATATATACTCGTATATAAATTTGGTTTCTTATGATAAATATTTTGTAATAAAATATTGCATTTATTTTCATAATTAAAATTTTTTTAATATTTAAATAATATGTTTTAATAATATATATATATAAAAACGTTTTAATTCCTTTTTAATTACGTACTTAATTTCAACAATCTTTTATTACAAAACTGCTTGCTTTCGACTTTTGCTTAATCTCAAGCTACTTTCGAGTGCTTTATTTACAAAATGTTTACAATGATAATGAACACAAAAATAAAAATCAATTTAAATGTTGTTAAATGCTTCAGACTTTTATGAAACGTAATTTGTAGAAATATTGAACGTTGTGATTAATTATGAAACATATAAAGTTGAAAATAGAATATTTATTTTTAATATTTCGTTAAGGTTTTCGTAACATTCGATAATTTTCAATTGCAATGATTATCGATTCACACTGCAGAAATTAATTAATGACAGCACGTGAAGCACGAAGAGTGTTTAATTAGTTCTGATACTCGTAGTATTTACTACTGCTTACTCCATTACAATTCAATGTAAGTGTACTACTTAGCACGGTAGTGAACGATACCATAAAATACTACACTATACTATATATTATATTTGTTATGCAGTAGTTCTCAGAAAATAATAGGTTACAGAATAGGGTAAACAATTCGTCAGTAGAAGACTACGATAATCAAACACAGAGTAGTAGATTTTTGTTTTGCAAGATACAAGCGTGCCATAAGACACCATTAAGACAACCATGTCTCATAAATTTTTTCGTCATATAAAAATATGTTATCAATATCCGTTCCTTACAGCAATACAACTATAATGATACCCAACAATGATGTATGGGTAAGGATATGTGAATAGAAATTAACAGAGATCGTACAATCACTATAGGATGTCACCATACAAGGTTGGTTCCAATAAAATGTAGTAGATTTTTGTTTTGCAAGATACAAGCATTTGAAGTGCAAGCATTTACAAGCATTTATTTGAAGTGCATATAAAAAATATGCTATCAATATCCATTTCTTACGACTATTCAACTGCTATCAATGATGTTAGGATGTAAATAGAAATGTACATACATTATACAATCACTAGAGGATTTCTGCTGTGTGCTAATGTAGCAAGAACTCGAACCCAATGCCGGTGAGCATACCGGTCTTGCCGCCGTGCCATCAACAGCTACAAGCGACACACAAATATACATGGACATAATTATTATATATAATGACCTTTGATCACTTCTTAACAGAGAATTAATCAAATGTTATATGTATAGTTAAAATTGTATAAGAAAAGATTGATTCTTCGAATGTCTTCTTGATCTCATTTCAGAGATATTTTGTTTATGTGAAGTGTGTTCTACTTTAAACAGTGATTTGCACTGTTTAAAATTATGTCGAATGAGTATTTTAGATCGCCAGCTGTGGTATCCTTGAATGCTAGTATAAACTTTTTGATATCTACTAAATGTTTTTTCTCTTTTATAATTAAATGTAGTTTTCTGAAGAGGAAATAGTTTTAAGGTGCCTAATTACAGAAATATAGACAGTAAATGACCGTATAGGCTTATTAAATTGCCAATAAATGGCTGGGATATTCTTCGGTAATATTTATATAGATATATATTAATATTATAAATAGATATATATATATTATATACATTTATATTAATATATAAAGATATATATTAATATGTATAAAAATATTTTTTTAAGATACTTTTCGAATGAAAAATAGAATACAAGTTATAGAAAATCCAATGTTATTCTAGTAAAAGTACTACAACAATGTGAAATGTGTAAATGATTTTTATTATTAAATAATTTATTACTTATTTATAAATAAAGTTCGTTTATAAAAAATACTTCATGAAAATTTATTAATAGAAAATGGTATAGAAATAAAGTGATTTGCAAATAATAAAATTCGAGGAATTCTGACTAATAAATTAAATTGGTAATTTCCAATTCATAAAATTATTTTTGTAAAAATAAAAAATTCATTAATATAGTTTAATATGAAAAGTAATAAATAATGAAAATAACAACCGGTAATTAAAATAATTTTTTTTACCATTTATGAGTTGTTAAAAATATAACTATTAATAAATTAATAACTGTTTTAACTAGTTTAAGATTTAGAATTTTAATTCATATACATTAATATATATATTAATTAATATATACATTATATATGACTTAATAACATTTATGTGACACACCATTAATGATAGTCGAGAATGATGACATGAGAAAAGTTTTGTTATATTGTCTCTTCAATATATTTTCACTGAATTTACTATTTATTATCTAAATAAATAGAATAATCTAAGACCAATTGTAAGTTGTTTCTGAACCACGACTACCGCAAGTCTAGTTCATTTTTAATAGAATTAACTGGTTCGCGGATAACGTGCCTTCGGTAGAAGTAGATATACATCTAGAAGTGTTGCGTCAGGATGAAACTCGATATATGGGGTTGCTATAGATAAAAAGTGAGTGATAATAAGGTAACTGATTCATATTACTCTACATTCGATTCGAATGATTGTTAATTAGTCAGTTTGCACTGGTTAGTAAGAGAGTTAAAATTTAAACTGATCGTCTACGTAGTAAGTAAATTTAAATTAGTCGAAAATGTATTAGACGGATTTGTCTCGTCTTTCCTGATAACATATTGTCAAATTTCTTATGATCATTATTTAATACGTTAATCATCATTAATTATAAATTAACTTAATTATTATTTAACTTATTAAGTTATTTATAAATTGTTTCAGGAAGTAGTTATGTTACTTCAAAATTTCTTCTTTATTTCTAACTGAAAATTTTATTCATATATCGGGCTTAAAGCGTAAAAGAAACAAAATTGGATTACAAAAGTTAAATAAAATACCTGCAAGTCAGCGTAATTTCAGAGCGCAATTATATTATCATTATCAATTATATTTAGTATCACGATGATCTACTTTTAACAACTAACCTCATTTAGGTAATAATTTATTTGATTCACGTGTTTTTATAAATAAATTTAATACAATATTTGAATAAGGAAATAAAAAAGAAAACTAATATCAAGCATTTAACAATATGAATAGAATAAATAATTTTATTCTTTTTTTATAGTAGATAATATATGGTATTTCAGTATTTTAGTTATATAAAATAAAATTATTATATCGGACGACTATAGATAATATTGTAAAAATATAATATTTTAGTTGTTGAAAAACTTTATTAATTTCGTCATGAAATTATTGTGATATGCCAATTTTTTATAAAAAACAAATATATAATTTTTATAGACAAAAAAAAGTGTTGATAAGTATAATTATTTCCAATTAATCTATTCCAAATTTTTGAATGCGGAATATTATTTTTTTAGGATATTTTCAATGATAGTCACATAATATGATAAAAAGATTTTAATGTTTGGTGTTTGGTTTTTGTTGTAATTGGTTTAGTTATAAGTTTACTATATAATATATAAGCTTACTCTGGCTTTTAGGATAAGTTCTTGAAAAAGAGTTGCATACTCGTCTTGCTTTGTTTCAGATGTGCAAGTGATAGTAGGCACGGACAGATGAGAATATAATGAAATCGAACTTTTGATGATTTATAAGAAAATCTGCTTTAAGAATTTAATGATTGTAAAGAATGAAATTATTTATATTTATTAAAATTCTTAAATATAATTTCCAGTTGTTGGATGCAAAGATAACTGGACATATAATATAATATATTTTTAGAGCTGAAATTGTTAATTATGGTCAATCCAAGTATGGTCAATCTAAGTTCTTTTTACTAAAAGCCAATTTAAAATTCGATATATAACTGATTAAAAAAAATCGGTACTTATATTTACAATATGAATAATATTGCTTTCTTTAAAGTTTAATTAATTATTATTATAAATTTTATAATAAAGCAAAAAAATATTTTAATATGTCAGCATTTTTGGCTATCACTTTATCTATCACTGATCTTTAAATTCAGACAAAATATTGTTATTGTGAACTTTGTACTTATCACTGTTAAGTTAAAATATCAATGAAATAGGTTAAGTTATCAATAGCACATTAAGTTATCAAAATTATTTTTTTATCATATATTTTAAATTTTTAATTAATAAAAATTCTTGGATTTACCCCATCTAATCCCTTGACTAAATAGACATCATGCTTAAATCCATGAAATGTGGCGTCTAATAACGAATGGCAATGTTGACGGGCTCTTTCCACACGTTTTTCTAAAAATGTACTCTTTCCCATGTTTATAGAAACTCTTTCTAATAGTTTTTTTTTATTATTGATAACGTTCTACTGAAGACGATTGTACCGCCGTACGAAACTGTCAATCAAGTGTTCACTTGTTCACTTCACAATATTAAACTCAAGACTATAAAATATAATTTCGTTGTTGGTCTATTTAAGCTTTTTTTATAGATAAAAATAAAATTAAAATTTATGTAAAAAATATATTACGTATACTAAATAATGAAATACTTCAATAATGAAAGCTATTTAGCAAAAACTGCGTAGCAAAAACTGTGATAGTCTATACTAATCACAGTCCAGCAATCGTCGAATAATATGGGGGGTAAAAAAAAAATCTCAACATTTTAATTTGTATTGATTATTTCAATAATTAAAAAATAATGAAATAATTTTGATTACGAATATTAAATAAACACAAAAAAAAAGAGAAAAGTTGTATAGGATATAATGAAATGGAATTTTACAGAATTATTTTTAGTCAGGAAATATTACCAGGAGTGCCTAAACCTATTAGGATATTCTCAATAGGCGATGGTTTGGCCTTCATCGTTTGGTATATAAAATGTAGTATATAACTATATTATATATAATATAGCAGACTTGTAGTGCTCCGCTATGGTACTCCGTCTGTACTTTTAGTATATTAGTTGAAAATTGAAGGGAATTACATTATATACATTTATTGTATTTGAAATACCGTCTTGTAAATTTGTTGTAAAGGTGTTCTATTTAATATTCGCAAATAGACATACCTTAATTAGCTCTAAACATATTAATAGAATTATGAAATGTCTATAATGGTAAAGCGTTTGCAATTATATATTACTATTGTTACTGTGCGTTACTGTTGGGATGATCTCCACTAATATTTTTTTCGCAACTATGAAAATGGCAATCGAGTTATGATACTACTCTGGAATTTATGATCAATATATATAATAGTTAAACAAAAAATTTAAGACAAGATACAAAAATAATATCGCAACTATAAAAATTGTTCAATTAAAAATTTAAGACAAGATAAAAAAAAATTCACCATATAATCAAAAGTTAAAATTTATATACTTTATAAATAAAGTGCATATAAAACAATCACTATCTTCGTCAGTTCTAAAACTCAGATGAACATGACAAAATTAATCGAATGATTATAATATTCACTTTTTTTCATAATTTATCTTTCTGCCACTGAGAGGAAAACATCACCACTTTAACCATTAAAGTTATAGTGCCTACTGTGGACTAAGATCTCATGAATTATACTTATATGTAGCGAAAAAAGTGACTCTTGCATGAGAAAAAAGTAGGATTTTAAATATGTTAATATTACATTACATTAGTGATAAAAATATAAGAAAGAAGCGAATACGAATATTTCTATATGCATTAAATGATTCAAACTATCTGGATATCCGTTTCACATCTAACTATATGATAGTTTGAAATTTTAAGTGCGATACATAGCTTGCTAAAAAGTTTTGAAATTCAAAAAATTATAATTCTCATATGGTTTGTAGATATATTATATGTTTGTTTTTAATAACAAACTTTTACTGTATAAAAACCAATTTAAATAATTATTTTTGTTATTTATTGCTATTATTTATTATTTCTGTATTATTATTGTTTCTTGCTTTCATAGAGAGTTTAATTATATTAGTAATATTAATATTATAATATTATATACACATTATTGTAGACAAATAACAAAAAAAAATATTATAGAACCCGAAATTTTAAACTCATATAATAATTTATACGACTTAATGGTATTAAAAGAATCTCAAAAGAGAGGTTTATACTTAAAAGATTATATATAATTTTATATACAAGATAAATATAAATAAATTTCATAAAAAATAATATATATAAAAGGCACTTTTCTATATATAACTTAAATTTTCGAAAAGAAAAGATTGCTGCAAATATTTCTGATAATTTGCAAATATTTTCATTGGACTTTATCTTTGCTAAGCAGACCTTCCTTACAGTCTTTAGCTGTAAGCATATTTTTGGTAATTTCCTGTAGATAAGACAATTATATTATGTTTATACAAATATATTTAAAAGATAAATATATATGTATATTTACATACACATATTTTTATATAATTTAGAAGAAAGCATAAAATAATTTATAGCAATTATTGGTTGTTATAACAAACGTAATTCTCATTCATACACTAAACTATAACTTTTATTGGCAACTGATTTAAGTCACGTCAATAAAAAGTTATTTGTTTGCTTCTTAATCACAATTATATTATATAAAAAAATATATATATAATGTATTATTATTTTATTATTGTCATATCAATTTAATTTCACAATTTAAAGTAAACTTTGTGGTAGTATGTGAAAACACAAAATTAAAAAAAAAAAAATTATTAATAGAGATAATTTCTATATTGCTGTATATTGTAATTGCTGATATCTGTGGGAACAACCATGACCTATGAGTTTTAAGTGCGATTGTACTCGCAAAGATGGAACAGAAACAATACGCAAATTGGTAGGTTGTCACCATAAAAACTATGTGTAATTATATAGAGATATCTCTATATAATCGTAAATAGTATAAATACACATAAGCGCTTACCACTGAAATGATTTATCTATTGTGTTCAAAGTGTATATTGACAGTAATAAAAATTAATAAACTACAATTACAGTATCAAAGAATCTTATACAAAAAATAAAAATGAATTTTTATTATTTCGACAAAATAAAAAAATAATTAAACACAAAACAAAAAAAAAATAAAAACAAATCAAAAAAATAAAAGCAAGAATAAAATAAATGAAAATAATACAAAAAGAAGGATTAAAATAACATAATCTATATTCTTATATAGCGTGTTACCATGTGAAAATAAATAACAATATATAACCACTGATATTTATATATATAAAACTCTTTAACCTATTTTATGTTTAATGACTTATAGTGTTCTTATCGATCTAAGCAATTATTGCATTCGTCATACTTTCAGTCATTTTAAAGAGGGACAAGGTACGATAACTTCAACTGGATTAGTCATTGCAGTATTTTTATAATTCTGAATAACAATGTTACGTATAGAAGTTTTAAGCAGCTCAGAATTTAAGGATAGAGATAGACAACTAATTACACATAATTTAAAATCTTTTTTAAATTTTTATAGATAAGAATAAAATATTTATAATAACATTTGTAAGTAATAATAAAAAATTACGGAACACGATTCATACCACAGAAAAAATAATAATGATAATTACTTATTTATTATTTATAAATAATATTAAATTATTATTTATTATATATAATAAATAAAGATGGAAACTGTAGATTCTGCGAAGAGAATAAAAAGTCAGCACAACACATGTGCTGTTAGAATGCCCTGCGCTAATGTACACACGAAATGGACTCATGGGAACGTGTACCTCTACAGAAGACTTTTTTATTATATATAATTATATATATTAGATATATTCTAAGCCAGAAGGAGGCACAATAGACCCGATGGTCGGAATGTCACTTCCCCTCTCCATAATAATAATAATGATAAATAAACGCCGCAGATGAGAGGAGTAAAAAAGGCTAGTGGGAGACATGTTGATTAAGTTGAGGAAGTATTAAACACGCTTGCTCGGTGAGACGAAATATGTTATAATGACAGAAAAAAGGGATATTTGATGGTGGGCTTACAATTATCAATCTAATAGGGAGAACAACATGTGGTTCATAAAAAGTACATGTATCCTAACTATACAGAACTAATTAAAATGTAATCATAAACTTTTGTTTATGTAAAAAGTAACTTTTCTTAAAGAGTTTGTGAATATGATCAGATTGGTGATATCTAAATAAGAATAGTGAGAATCAAAAAAAATAATGTCAATAATATAAAATAATGCTACTATTCCAACTTTAAAATCTCGAAACCTTTATAAATTAATTAAAATAAATGTTTTATTTGTTTTTAAAATAAATTCGTTAAACTCGTTAATTTAAATTATATTGTGCGGTATTATTCATAAACAATTATAAATCATTACCCCTAATTTTAATGACTATTTAAGCCTTCAGATAATTGATAAAAAGGTTAATAAACTAATTTTATTTAAAAAATTAATTCAAATAAAAAACTATAAACTTTGACAATTCAAATAAATTCAATTGATGGCCAGATTTTAGATATCACTGGTAGTCTGTCTACCAGGAAACGCGTGTCACTAAGTCGTTAAAAAAAAGGTTCACTAATATTAGATAATATTAATATTAATATTTCCAAATTCTGTTTGCAAACAAAAATTTTTTTGTGAAAAGTCTATCTCGTGTGTATACGTGGGATAAGTTTTATATCAAAGAAAAAATTTTAAGTGCATGGCAGGGGTAAAGATATTCTTTTTACAACCGGGATATCACTATGTCAACGGGCTATATTTTTAGTGCGAATATTGGTTATATCACACAGATATTTAAAGAAAAAGTATCCTAGAGCATCGACATTTCTTTTTAATCTACATCAAGAACAGTATTCTTTTAAAAACGTCCCAAGTTGAACAATAAAACGCGTTCAAGACTATTTAGTTGTTATTGTTTTTTTCATTATAGGAAACCTATGCCATATCAGTGGATCAGTAGATATGCAACATTTTCCTGTTTCTCCTCTAACCCAAAATTAATATTATAGTTAGTGTTAGGAGCCTCTACCAGACAACGAAACACGTTGTCGAAAGACCTCTTGGCGGGAGTAACTATGACTCTCTTAAGTGTATGTCGATGAGGGCTGCGGAAAGGGACCTTCGGGAACTGATTCTTAAGAGATCATGGAAGTGCCTACATCACCCCTCTTCGTGGTGCCTGCCAGTAACGATCATGATGAATGGTCGGATAAGTTGATGAGGGCTACGGTGTTCTCATGGGTTGCCAGCCCTTGAACATCCTTAAATCACTTGGTACAAGTTTAAATAATAATGTGATTACGGGCCTGGATAACCCGACATCAGTGGTACCTGCCACTGACAACCAGTTTAACTGTAGTCAAGCGGATGTGGTAGTAAGTGTTACTAAGATAAAATTTATGGAAAGTCAATGTTTATATATAAATAGAACTATATT